AGCTTTTTATTAATTATATAGTTTGCAAATGTTTTCTCCAATCCAGTAAATTGCCTTTTCATTTTGTTGACTGTTTCCTTTACATGTTGCAGCATTTTAGTTCAACAGTCCCTCTTATCTATTTTTACTTTTACTACCTCTGTCTGCAGTATCATATCCAAGAAATCATACTCAACACCATGTCACCCCTTTTTTCCCTATAATTTTTCCAAGAGTTTTATGGTTTTAAGTCTAACGTCAATTTTTAGTTCATTTTCACATGTGGTGTGCGATAAGGGTCCACCTTCATGCTTTTGCATGTGGCCACCCAGTTTTCCCACTATCATTTATTGAAGACATTTTCTATTCTTCGTTGTCTATTCCTGGTACTCTGCACATAGATCCATTGATCAGATATGTATGGGTTTATTTCTGGACTCCCTATTCTGTTCTGTAAGTATAAATCTATGTTGATTTTACTATTTTCACTACTATACCTTTGTGCAATATATTTTAAAATCAAGAAGAGTGATGCTTCCAGCTTTGAACTTCTTCAAAATTGCACTAGCTGATCAGGGTCTTTTGAATTTCAGTATTATTTTTTTCTAATTTTTTTTTTAAAAAAAGTCATTGGGACAATAACTTTTGATAGTACAAGTAAATATGTGTCAGATATTGTTAAGCTATACCTAACTATTACATGTTTGAGATATTATTTTAAAGTGGAAAAAAATAATGAAATACAAAGCTATGTCTGTATTTGAACCTGAATTTGCCCTTTTTGAAAAGCAGTCAAAAAATCATCCACAGCTCATATTATACATAGGTTCATTACTTTCTTTCTTCCTAAGTTTAAACATTATCAAAAATCCTCTACAGTCCCATATTATACATTGGCGCATTACTTCCTTCCTAAGATTAAACAGTGTTATTGTAAACTGTTTTTTGTTGATCTAGTATTAATACTTCCCTTTACTGAGAAAGCGGAGCCTAATGAAAAGTGGAAGATGAGCAGGATAATAGTATCTGTAGAGCATTATAAGGAGCAATTTACCTCTAAATAGTCAAAGAAACAATTTTTGGACAAATGAATACTGTTTTATTTGAAATAAATTTCATCCATAATGCATCAAATACTATTTAGTAACCTAGAAACATAGCTATCAGGGATCTTGTTTTGCAAATTGCCTGTCTTTACTTGTACTTAAAGAGGTACCTACTTTTTTATATTTAAGAGAAATAAAAGTCAAATCTGATTCAAGGTTTCAGACACTAAATAATTCATAACTTTAAAAATAAAACTGGAGAAAATATAAGCTGATTACATCACTAGCAAAAAATAAAAAAGAAAGAAAAAGGAGATATAGTTTTAAGGAAATATTTAGAAAGTAGTATCATGTAATAAAATCCATAAACTCTCCTAAAACAAAACAAATCTTCTAAATCTGCTATCTTTATTTGATTAACATATTTACTATAGATGGTAGAAAATGGAATTAACAGATTTAGATCGATTTTTATTTTTTATCTTAGGATAGGTAAATCACATTCTGTATTTTTATATTCCCCGTCTTTAAAATACTATAAAATAACTATAGTAAATCAAAAGACTGAAATTCTTCATTAAGAGGCAGTATGTAAATACCACAAACTTTGTATCATTTATGTTCCTACATTGTACAAATACCTCACTCCATACTGCCACTATACTATTTTGTCTTGCTGTGTCAAGTCATTATATTCTCTTCACTACTTCTATTGGAATTGAGAAATACCTAGAAGTATAGAGGATATAAAAGGTAACAGTTGTAAATTTTGTCTTGGAGTAAAATATAAAAGGCAATTTTTCATGTAGTGTCTTAAATGCAACTAACATAGACATCAATGAACTCACAAAGAATCCTGGCATGATTCTCATAAAGGACAATGCTGATAATCCCAGCAGTCACCAAAGGATGACCAAAGAAGAGATGGAAACTGATCACTATTGCGGATCATTTTGTTGTTTAAAATTTTCATAAGGTATCTGCTACTTGAAAGAGGAACTATTTTCTGATACTGATTCAACACTATAAGTCCCTCTGACTAAAAAAGGTAACGGTGGGCCCTCCCTGGTGCCGCAGCGGGTTAAAGAAGCTAACGCCACTTCCGCATGAGTTCGATCCCCACCTGCCCCAGAGGTGACCACATGGCGCGGCAGACCTCTCCTGACCCGCCCGCTGCTCCCCTCGGCAGTGTACTTTGTCGATCTGCCTGTTCTGCTCCCCACTCTGTCTCTGGTGAAGCCTCTCACCGCCCCTGAGCCTCTGGCCTGTACCACAGTTCTGTATGAACAAATAAAAAAATATTTAAAATGATAATAATAATAATAATAATAATAAATTTAACAGTGCCTGGTGCATCTGCAATGTTAGAGTTTAGTGTTCATCTTCACCAGCTACAGTAGGCAACCATCTCAACTAGAGCTAACTTGTTTTTCTTTTCGGCCACCATTTGAAGCAAGATTTGTACCTGACTGAACCCTTGACTTGAAAGGTTTTATTGTTTTCTAAATAAGTATGTAGAATCATTCAAAACTAGGTTTTTTACTGGATATGTAGGATTTATGCTGTCCATTATATAAACCTGAATTTTCAGGCAAAAGTTTAAGAGATGGGAAATACTGTGAAGAATTTATTGTACCTTTATGGTAATGTCAATATGTATATAGCATTTTATTAAATCAAAGGAAGCATCTTGCTGCAATGATAGTGAAAAGATTCATAATTAACTACAGGAAATTATATAAGATGCTATTGTTTTTCCCAATTTTACTTTATATCTATTACAAAAATCTTTATAAACATAACCCATTAAAGAAACAGAATATAAAAGCTGGCTATTTCTGAAATATACAATTCTAAAGTTATTACTATAGCCGTTCAAGTCAACTGTAGTGAAATGAATGAGATACACAGATATACAGATATGACAATCAGGTCAGATTTTTTCAAGATAAAAAATTGCCTCCATATAAATTATTTAGTAGAGTAAATATTAAGTTAAGTCAATTTCTAATAGAAAAACTAAAAGGTAAATGAACTATTTTATGTGCTAATAAGGAAATGAGAGAGCATAGATAAGAAAAACCTAACAGAAAATCTGCAATCTCATTTGATCATTAATTTCAACGTACTAAGCTACAAATATATAGAGGCTTTGGTTAAATTGTGACTGAATTTCTAAGGGAAAACACAACTCAAGAAAGAAAAAAACTAAAAAGTTCTAACAGTAAATCTTAAAAGTTTTTTTTTTTAAAGATTTATTTATTTATTCATACAGAACTGGGGTACAGGCCAGAGATGCGGAGGGTGAGAGGTTTCACCAGAGACAGAGTGGGGAGCAGAACAGGCAGATCGACAAAGTACACTGCTGAGGGGAGCAGCGGGCGGGCCAGGAGAGGTCTGCCACGCCATGTGGTCACCTCTGGGGCAGGCGGGAACCGAACTCATGCGGAAGTGGCTTCAGCCTCAGTGCAGCGCTTCAACCCGCTGCGCCACCAGGGAGGGCCAAATCTTAAAAGTTTTTAACACAATTTTTATAGCTGTATGATGACAGATATGAATTAGACTTGTGGTACTGATCATTTCACAATGTATACAAAAAATATTAAATCATTACTTTCTGTACCTAAAACTATAATATGTTATATGTCAATTATATTTCTATTTAAAAAAGGAAAAGAAAATTTAAAAGCATGCAGAAATAAAATAAAAGATTCTTTACAGCAAGACAAGAAAAGCCAAAGTCTTACAGTGCTCTAGATGTACAGATGATTGTACACAATCTTTAAATTCAATGAATAAAATACACTGCCAAAGCCTACCATGAATAATAATATATTTTTCACCCAACGAATATTTTAAAAATCACTTTCCTTTCTACTGTACCCAAGAGGATAACTCGTGTAGTACAATGTGTATATTGGTTTAATTTTAATGTCTTGAAACTGAATTCCATTTACTGTGATTTTTAAAAACTATTTGCATAGAAACTAAATCTTCAAACATATTTTTAAACCTGAAAATATTTGGCAGCATTTAAAAATATTATTCTTTCATTCAAGATGATTGTATTGTGTACCCTCTGTGAACATGTCCTTGTACTTGACACTGAAACCTAAGAAGAAATTTTTATATATTTTTTCTGAAAGGGACATTGAAACTTTTTAAGGCAAACATGAAAAGTCAACTAATAGCTATGTTTTGTTGGGTTTTTTTTTTTAAGATTTTTTATTTATTTGTGCATACAGAACTGGGGTACAGGCCAGACGCTCAGGGGTGGCGAGAGGCTTCACCAGAGAAGAGTGGGGAGCAGAACAGGCGGATCGATGAAGTACACTGCTGAAGGGAGCAACGGGCGGGTCAGGAGAGGTCTGTCACGCCATGTGGTCACCTCTGGGGCAGGTGGGGATCGAACTCATGCGGAAGTGGCTTTAGCTTCTCAGTGCTGTGCTTTAACCTGCTGCGCCACCAGGGAGGACCCAGGGTCTTTTTTTTTTTTTTTAATAAAACTTTCCTCTTTTTGCTTTTCAATATTTGGGTTAATGTCATTTTGCCCCCAACTTGGTTGTATTAAAATGTGAACAATGGATGAAGCAATTAAAATAACTCAGTACTAGAAAATGTGAATTAAAGTTACTAGTCAAAGTAAAAATGCCCTTAACCCATTATTAGGGTACCAGAAAGGAGGGATATTTCAAAACACCACATTTCAAAGGAGAAACTAAAGTCAACATCATAAACTCAGAACTTAAAGAGTAAAACAATTAAAATTCTACTTGCATTCCTTACAAGACTTTCAAAATTTGTTTAATTCAGGATTGTTCAACCATAGAAGAAATGAAGTCAGAAAAAGAACACCAAAAGGCCCTATTTACATTCCTGATGCTACTAGAGGCAGACTATCGTCATCAAAATTCTATCGCAACACACATCATGAAAGGACACAGATAAGTGATCAAAAAAATCAAGACTTCTTACCCCATATTTACATTGGCGGGATGTTGCTCCATACTGGAAACGGCATTGCTCATCGGCATCATACACCTGACCTGGGGCCACAGCTGGATAAAGAAAGTCACGCTTGGGAGGCTCATTATCAAGGCAAGTACCACGGCCTGAACTGTTCAACATAAAGGATCAAAGAAATTAGGTACACTATGAACTATTTAAATTACAAGTATGAACCCATGAGTTGAGTTCTTAGTTTTAATAACAATACATGGAAAACAACACATTCTAGTAATAAATAACCAAATGACAAAATAGAATAGCCTTGCTGAAAACTGAATAACAGTTCCAACATTTTTTTTCCAGCACAAGACACAATAAAAGCATTTAAGGCAACAATCTCAAAATGTCATGTTGGCCTTTAAAACATTGATTTAAACTAATTTCGAAGGGAACAAAAGCAGAATTTCACTTTGTGCTAAGCTTCCTGTTTATTTTCAGTGAAAATGTAACCACATCTGGTAGCAGAATTAAAAACATAAAATATGGAAAAAATTTTAAATTGTGGTCATAATCCTTAAAGACCTAATCTATATACTTGCACCTTGGGAAGAACAATAGATGCTGTGGTAAGACATGTCCAAAGACTCTTGAAATATTTCAATAATAAATGGGCTGAATGACAGATAAGGCCAAGATCCAAAGTTCTCCTCTCAAGTATATTAGAAGTGTTTAGTCTCTCAGAAATTTCATATTTCATCTGGGTCATCAGAGTTGGAAAAGAGAATGTTCTCTTCTCTATAATTTCTGCTTTTCAAAGTATGCTTGCACTCAAACATAATATTTTAATTCAGTGGAACAAATAACATAAAGATCGCCAAAAGCCAGACAGAATACCTAAGTTTAAAGAGTTTTATACTTTACTAAATATAATTGTTCATTTTTATTTAGTCAGTGTGCATAAAATAGGACAGATGCTTTTTTACTTTCATTTCACATGTGAGTAAGTTAGATTTTTTAAAGAATTCCTATGCCAACATTTAAAAATTTTTTCCAACATTCCTGTCAATTGTGCCAGCACTTGTGTTTTTTTTTCCAAATCTTTTCCATCCACTTTGCCAAAGGAAAATAATTTCACAAGTAGAAGTTTCTAAACTATTACTGAGGATAGTACAATTTTCATTTATAGATAACTAAGAAAGAACAATGCATAAAAATGTCTAGTTGCACAGAATCAGATCAATGCCTTTAAAAAACTGAGCCATGCTATTTATATAGTAGTAGATTCAAAGACCCAAAAGGTGCTACCTCCTGTGCACCTTTTCTTTTCCTTGATTCATTTTGTTATCAATAAAAATATTGAGATAGCATTATATGTGGTAGTAATTATAGATGAATGATTACAATTTGCTATTACAATCATTTCACTTGTCACTGCTCAAGGTACCTAACTAGTAGAAAAGAACTATTTTCATCCAACTTACTAGTTTTCAAAACCAAAACTTCAGTTTTTGTTTAATGACCTTTTAGAAATTTTCATGGACTTCAGTAAGAAATATTATTGCTAGATGAATTTTTAAAATAGCAAGTTTTAAAATTTTTATTATGTAAAACATCTTTAATCTACCTAGGTATATGAATTTTGAGCAAATACAGTTCTATAAAATTTTAATATTGAGTTTAATAAGACATCAAACTTGAATATTACTATGAAAGAAAACCATTCTGATATGCAAAGTGTTTGTGATATGATTAACAGTTTAATCCTTTAATTTTCCTTCCAAAATATCATCCACCTCTACCTACAACAAAATTATAAAATTATTTAAGAAATTAGTTAGAAATGTAATAAAAATGAAATACCCAGTTAGATCAAGCTATAAGTATCAAGCTATAAGTCAATGGAAAAGTTTTAAAACTGTATATTGAAGTAATTAAGTACAGAATCCTATAGGTAAAAATACTTGCCAACAACATAAAAAAGAACGTATGGGATATATTTACCTAAGTGACAGCAATTCAAAATCTATTAAAAGTTGTTATATATAACTTAAGCTTTTTTAAAAAACGTGCAGGCCCACAAAAGAGTTTAAGAATAGATATCCCCAGGGAGGAAAAATGTTTCCTGATAGCAAACTGAAAACTGTTAACCCAAGTGGAAGCAAGAGTAATTATTTCATTAGAAGTTCTGATTCCCAGATATTGATGGTCTTTTTATCATTCTTTCAAACATTATTTAAAAAAAAAATTAGATGACCATTACAGGGACTTCAGACAACAAAAATTGACAAGCACTGTAGTCATCCATGGCTGAAGTTTTTAGGAGAAAATTATTTCTACAGGTTTATTTTGTTTTAATTCTTTGGGAGCACTTACTTTATCTTTCATTTTTTATCAGTCTCGTCAAACTAAATATCTAAATGAGTCTTGGTCTATTTTTTCAGTATATTTTTAAAGAAGAAAAAAATACCCTACTAAGTAAAATATTAGCAATAATCAAGTCACCTAGATCTTTTTCAAAATGAACATGTACTTCATGTATGAAGTATAAGGAATCAACAAAACATTTTCAAATAGTTTTGGCTACATTTGCAGAAATTATCAATAAGTCAGATTTCTTACCTACTATTATTAACAACAAGAAAACAAGTATGTTGTCGTCTACATGATTGATTTACAGTGTTTTTACATTTCAGGGAGCAAATGTACTATATATTTTCCTCCTATAATATCTTGTATTTGGGGAATGGAGTAGCTTTCATATTTTAATTCTTAACTGAGGATTAAGCAACAACAGAAAAAAAATTTGTATAATGCTTCTAAAAATTGTCTACTAATGTTTTGCTACTCTCAAGTTAAATCTATAGGACATAAATAATAATTATCAATTAATTCTTGGAAATTAATAGTCTTGGTTAATTCCATACCTGAGCCATCAATTATAATTTGAAATATCACAAATGCATGTAATAGAAAGTAGAAGACATGATAGATGTTTAATTCTGAATGTGACTTTCATTTCTTCTTAGGCAATTCCCAAAAACTCAGTCCCAATCATGCCCCTCAACTTTCCTCTCCCAAAGTAACTAATCTTCTTTAAAACATTCGTTTCTTTGTTTCTTAATAATTATTCATCTCCTAATTATTTATTCACACATTTTTAGATTCTATAAATAGAGTCATAATGATATTCTTTGGTGACTATTCTTTTGCTCATATTTGAAAGATCAGATCATTCATGATCTGATATGTGTAACTGTATTCTGTTTGTTTTTGATAGTTCTTTAATATTCTACCTAAGACCATGCTACAATTACTTTTCCTTTCTCCTACTAAGAATCATTTGGATTAGTTTCAATTTCTGGAAGTTGCAAATTATGCTGATATTAGCATTTTGCACAATGTTCCTAGTTCAAATAATTTTCCTATATTTCCTAGTACAAATAATTTTCTTTTTCTTAAGAAAACTAGATGAGTTATTGTCTTATATAACTGTCTCCTTTTAACAAAATAGATGTTATGAATAATTTTTACTTAACTGAGTGTTCCAGCTAATCAAAGTAATCATACAATTCTTTTAATCCTGAGCAGTGTTATTTGTGTTACTATTATCAACATAATAACAGCAATCTTATATATAAACCTTCTTAAATTTTCTATCAAACACCTCAAGCGTCTGTTTTCCCTTTTAAATATACTTTTTCTTACTTTGATTGCATTTTAAAATACTTGTAAAAAACCCACCTATAAATAGATGGTTTGTGCCTTGGTGTACTTTTCTACTCAGAAAACATAAACTTCACTCATCAATAAATAAAATGAAGAATACTTGGTAGTTTTCATCCATGAGATGTCATTATAAATTAATGTTGTTAGATATACTCAGGCAGAGCAAAATGGAATTCATAAAAAAGTAGACCTATGTTTATTTTCATAATAGCATATATTTTACATTAACAGCCCAATTCTGATTAATATCTAAAGCAAGATAGATCTATAGCAAATAGCCTCTATTTTTGTATATGTTTTTAAAACAAGGCAAAATATATTAGCTTGAAAGCATACTTTTTCTTCAGTTATACAGTTCTTAGTATAATCAAAGTATATTTCAGAAATCATTATAGCATGATAGTAAAGTTGTATTTTACGTAATAATCTTTTTTAATTTAGAGGAGTCTTATTTACATAGCTCAAAAATTATCCTTGAAAAGCAACATGAGCCAAAGTTGAATACTAAAATTTATAGACCCTATGTAAAATATGCACTCTTGGCTTTCTTTCCAGACACATGAGGACATACTCTTAATTGTAATTTTAGATTTATTTTTCACATAAGGACTATACTATAAAGTATAGACCTCAGTTTACAACATAGTGGGTCAATCTAAATTATAAATCTTTCTGTACAATCTTTTCGGTATATCTTAACAGTCTCTTAACAACAACAACAAAAAGTTAATATTTAAGGTCACTGGCTTTCTTCCCCACAATATTGTTTAATATATTGAAATTAAGCAAAAAAATGAATTAAGTTGGTATCATCTATGTTTTCATAAACTACTCTACCTGTCTTGCAAAATTAATAACACATTACCTTCTCTTTTGCCAGAGGTACTTGAGTACAAGTGAACAGGAGGCATCCAGTACAAAAACACTACACTGGTAATAGTTTATTCAGTTATTGTTCCCCATTTCTCTGTTAATGACAGCTTATCAAAGATACTGATGGATTTAAATGACGTTTCCAAAATATATCCAATAAATGGAGGAGAAACATATTTTTCTAAGATGCTTATTGAGTTTATATAAAATAAGACTTCCCACCTTTAAATTCTTTTCTATCTAATAGATTACTTACATTAACTTTCAAAAGTAATTGTTACAGAAGATATATCCTGTTCATCTTATATCACTTCTCCTGTAACTACCTAATTCACGTTCAACCATACTATTGCTTCTCTTCTTCAGCTATTCCATCCTTTCTTAAAAATTACTAGTCTAGGGCCCTCCCTGATGGCACAGCGGGTTAAAGCACAGCACTGAGAAGCTAAAGCCACTTCCGCATGAGTTCGATTCCCGCCTGCCCTGGAGATGATCACATTGTGTGGCAGGCCTCTCCTGACCTGCCTGCTGCTCCCCTCAGCAGTGTACTTCGTGGATCTGCCTGTTCTGCTCCCCACTCTGTCTCTGGTGAAGCCTGTCGCCACCCCTGAACCTCTGGCCTGTACCCCAGTTCTGTAAGCACAAATAAATAAATCTTAAAAAAAAAATTACTAGTCTATATTTAATTTGTAGTGATAGTAAATTTTGCTATGAATCTCTGACAATTCAAACAAGTTACCAAACTTTTATTTAAATAGAGCAAAAATTATTTATGTAGTCCCCGAAACTTTTGAAAACTAGATGAAATTACTTCATACTACTAATAAGTAGTGGGAAATGTTTGAAAACCTGACTTAAATTATTTGTGACTGCCTTCCGCTGCCTGGTGAATTAGCCCATAGTCATCAATGAGTGTGAGCCGTAATACCAGGTTCATCTTTCTCTATTTTCTCAATAAATAAATAAATAAAGTCCCGCAGGCAGATAGGAAGGACACTACCTGCAAAGCCGTCGTCGAAAACATCAGAAGCTGGCATAACACGTCCATTTTAACGGAAATGGGTTCTTTATTATTTAATCAGGACGGCTTCTGGGCGATTCATGAACCACTTATTGAATCACCGAGTTTAAGAAATCTGAAAAAAAATATTGGGAGTTGGTAAACACCATCTCCTGATTGATCAATAGTACCTAGTGTTTCAGAATTGACACGAGAGACTTTTTAATTCGATTGGCATTTAAAGGCCATGGAATTTTCAGTTGAACATAGTGAATAGTGAATCTCTATAAACCATAGAAAGGTCATGGTTAAAATCCACCATCAGCCCTGTACACTCACTGAGTAGAGAAGGTGTGCATTTTGCTGGCTAGGCTGCCGTCCCAAACAATTTATCTTTCAAGAATTTTCTTGAGAAGAGCGACCAAAAAAACGTAATGAGTCTTTTTAAGCCTACTGTAAAACATAAATGTAACCTTAATTGCTGATCTAGATATCACTCGATTTTTCTAAAAGTTTCACACATGGCTGTTGGAACAATTAAGTCTACTGTACTAACAAAAAGGAACAAAGAAATTCAAGAAAGTTGCTATGATGTCTTTGTGCTCCAGTGAACTGACGTTTTAAAGGCCCTGTGTTTAACAATTCTTTGGTTAGATTATATCAGAGTTGTTTTGTTGTTATGAAGGAGGAAAAAGTTAACTTCCCAAATCTCTGTCCATTATCTTTCATATCTATCTTTTACTAATGGCTTTCCTTGTGAGCATTCCAATGAGGAAGCACAACAGAAAACTATTCGTAAGAAACAGAATAAATAAATCCGTTAGAAATTGTTTGACACTAATGTGCCTACATATACAAACACAAAGAGGTAGTACGGCTAAAAACTGCTTTTTGGGTTGATTTTTTAAAACTAATTCTATAGAACACTTTATTGGAATTAGTAATACTTTTACATCTCTCATCAAACCAGTGGTGATTTCTTAATTGTATCTGATGACAAATTAGGGATTCCCTTTCTTAAAATGTTTTCAACTATGAGGGTCTGGTAAGACATCAAATCTGATACTTGAATTTAGGATATAGAGATAGTCCTAACAAATGGGATATGCCATACAGACAGCATAAAGAAGACAGAGCATGATACTTTGGATTAAAAGAAAAGGAGGGAAGCCCTGGAAAATGCACAAGGCCTATTTGACCATTTAAGTTTCTGGTGACAGACACAGAAGAGTCCATGATAAAAACATGAGAAAAATGAAAGGAGAAATTCCAGTTCTGGCTTGATTTCTAGGAAGAGTAGATCTTGAACAATGTTTAAAATAAGGTATAATGATCTCATTTAAAAAACATCATGGAAAATAATACTGATAATGCTTGCTTCTAAAACCTACCAAAAAGTATAAATTAACACAAAGTCTCTGTGACCTATCTTTCTAGCCCTCTACCTAGTTTTGGCACTAGACAAGTATGGTATAATTATCCACTCATAATATTAAAATTTCTTAGCAGCTTATAGTATGGTTATTCAGAAAAACTACTTTCTGAAACAAACTTCCACTTCCTTCAACTGGGTAATAATATTAATTAATTCAAAAGAGTCCACTCAAAACATTCACCTTTTGATGACTGAAAAAAGCATTATGGGCTCTCCCTGGTGGCGGAATGGGTTAAAGCACCACATTATGAAGCTCTCCGAAGCCACTGCAGCATGAGTTCAATCCCTGGCCAGGTCACTGACCCACATGGTGTGCCAGACCTCTTCTGACCCATCTGCTGCTACCCTCAGCAGTGTACTTCATTGATCTGCCTGTTCTGCTCCCCACTCTGTCTCTGGTGAACCCTCTCACCCTCCACACCTCTGTATCCCAGTTCTGTATGCATAAATAAATAAATCTTAAAAAAAACAAAAAAACAAAAACATTGTACTAAGTAAAGTAAAACCTCTTGCTTGGGCTTTAAAAAAATATGTAATTATAAATTTTCAGGATATAATCTGAAAATATAAAACAAAATTTTAATATGTATTGTTATGCATAGAAAATATCTAAATCTTAAAAATGTATGCTCTAATCATATTAATGTGAACTTTGAACATAGAAAATTTTAAGAAGAATTTTTGTTGTTTGACTTTCTTCCTGTATAACTCTTATCACAGCATTTTATCTCTAATTCCCAAGAAAAAAAGGTCCAAGATAGTTAAAAGTAATGATAAGTAACAAAGTTTACAACTACATTACTTAATATATTTACTGCTGAATGAATATCTAGCAAGTGTTTTATATACACCATAGCATTCTATACAATTACATAGATATCAACCTGATATGTAAGTATTTACTTATTTAACAAATGAAGTCACTGAAGATGCAAAAGTTTAGATAACATGTCTGAGGTTTTAAAGACAGAAACTAAAACCTAAGTCTATCTGTTCCCAGCGTCCAATTCTGAAGCCTAGGCAGGTGAGATATAGACCATCTCCTTTGCATAACAGCTCATGTATATAAGTAACATTTAAATACAGATCCTAGGATATACATAAAAGAACCATCAAAGAAGTTTCCAAACTATTTAAAAAAAAAGCTACTTAAGTTTTCAGATGCAAATTTATATTTTTCCATTTTCATTTCCTGGATGTTTGAGTTTTTGTTGTTGTTGTTCATTACTATTAGATACTTAAGCATGCCTATCAAATTCAGTCTTTCCACCAACAAAATAAAATATATAGTCAATTAATGACTGGCTATTATCTACAAAATTAAGTAAATCTAAATTCTTTCTGACACTGATCCCATTTACTCAACATTTCTAATACATTTCCAAACCTTCTTATATCCTTGCTCTAGTTCTTATAACCTATTCATGAAGTACATGTTCTATGGGAAACAAAATTGCTACAATGATATATTAAACTGTTTGAGGAACTGCCTGAAATCACTGGGTCCCATAAAAGTTATTCATTAAGCAAAGCCTGAGCTACTACATAATAGACTTCTATCAGTGGTTTCTGTAAGAATTGATCTCACTCTCCAGAGATTACTTACTCTAGAAAACTGGTGATATAATCTCGACTGCAGGCGGACCAGGAAAATGGATTGGTATTTGCAGTAATGTGAGCGGCCATAAGCTTTGCTGCTTCATGACCTTTCGTCCCGCAAGAATTTCCAATTCCATCATGGTTCATACCAAAACTGTTTTAAAAGAAGAAACATAGGAAACACAAAAGAAAAAAGTAAGATAGAAAATAAAACAAATACATCCTTTATTTCCTATTTGATAGAATTATCAACATATGTTTTCCATGAAGATAGACCTGATCCTCTAAGGAACATAGGATTAATGTTAAGGATACTATGGAATAAATGAATGCTATATGTTTAAAATCTTTAAAACTATCTTATACTGTGAAATGTTATCTCACATGATTCAATCTTACCTTGACCATAAATATATATTGACTCTCATATTATATAGAAGATAACCTATTAAATCTCACACAGTTAGTAAATGTTAAAATCGTTAGTAGAATTGTCTACTGAGTTCTAGGTATAGATCAAACACAGAAGTTCTTTTCCTTATTCACATGGATAAAGGAGAATTAAATACACATTTAATTTTTATGGCTGTGCATATCAGTGCTTTTAAAAAATCTTGAAATATTTAAAGATTAAGGGTATATGATTTTCCTTTACCATGGCCTCCCTTCATTTTTCAAGGTTTTTCTTGGTCCATTTCTCTTGTGTCCTAGAGCTTAGCGTTATAAATTTGATCTAAAAAAATATCCCAGTGCAACAATAGTGAAGGCAAGGATAAATAGATGGGACTACATCAAGTTAAAGAGCTTCTGTACAGCAAAAGAGACATTACAAAAAACAGACAGCCCACTAATTGGGAAAAAAATTTTCTCACACAAAACTAGTGTTAAAGGATTGATCACAAAATATATAGGGAACTGACAAAACTCAACAAAAATAAACAGCCCCATCAAAAAATGGGCAGAAGAGCTAAAAAGACACTTCACCAAAGAGGAAATGCAGATGGCCAACAAACATATGAAAAAATGTTCAACATCACTCGTAATAAGGGAGATGCAAATTAAAACCACAATGAGATACCACCTTACCACAGTGAGAATGGCACATCTTCAAACAACTACCAACAACAAATGGTGGCCAGGATGTGGGAGAAAAAGGAACTCTCCTGCACTGCTGGTGGGAATGCCAACGAGTACAACCACTATGGAAAACTGATTGGAGGTTCCTCAAACTGCTAAACATGGAGCTTCCCTACGACTCAGCAATCCCACTCCTAGGTATCTACCCAAAAGACACAAAACACAGATTCAAAAAGATACCTGCACCCCCATGTTTATTGCTGCTTTATTTACAACTGGAAAAACATGAAAGCAACCCAAATGCCCAAAAGTAGGTGACTGGATTAAAAAGATGTGGTACTTATACACAATGGAATATTACTCAGCAACCAAAAAAGAGAAACAAATGTCTTTTGCAGCAAGTTGGATGGAGATAAGCCAGAACGAAAAAGAAAAATACCGGACGGTCTCACTCATATCAGGAGTATAATGGACCAGGCGAGAAAATAATAAGAATAATAAACAGCCATACACAAAAGACATTTTGTGGGCATGGAGTGGGGAATTGTACCAAAAACCAGGTCGGGGGAGGGAAGTGCACAGGATTATGGTGATGGCACATGGATGACTCGGTGACGGGAAACCCAGGGGGATTACAACTGAGATGGAAAAAAAATGTACAAAATGATGTAAAAATAAACTCTTATATTAAAAAAAAAATCCCAGTGATAAGTCACAACACTGCACATGAGTGCCTTTTCTTCACAGGTAGCCAGTTGTTTAGGCAATAACAACAACAACAACAAAAAATAGTTCTGTCTCCATTGTGACATTCTAGTAAATGTACCGTGGTATGTGTTCAAGGAAATAAGTAATTTATATGACAATGAGATAGTTGCAAAGAAAAAATTGGAAAGGAGTTGAGAACAGGTAATTATAAAATAATAAATTAAAGTAAAAGTATTAATACTTTTGGCTGGGTAGAGTCATCAAAGATTTGTAAGTAAGAGCAACTGAAAACTTCAGAGTAGAATACAGTGTTTATATTTTTGGCAGTTATTACAGTAGTTCTACAGAAGAGACACTGCAGCAGAAAGAGCATGGGGCAAGGGAGAACAGCTCTCATAATGATCCCATAAGATCATTACATTGTTGATCTGAGTAGGGCAATAAATAGAGGTGGGATTAGATATGAGACATGTTTAGGAGACAGAAGAACATATCAGGTAGTTTCCTACTTTCAATCAAGTTACAGAGGAATTATTAAATTAATAGCAATTGTATGCTAAACATTTTTTGACGATAGATTGTAATGGTTAAATTTTGACAAATAATTGAAAAGGAGTTCACAGAATTAAGTGATAATAAGCTCCTTTCACCTCATCTACTTACTTACCTGAAACAATTTTATTCAGCTTTCTCATTTAATCAAGCAAAATAAATTGTACTCAAAAACATGTCCTGCCATTCAGAGGTAAATTCATTACTTCAAAAATACACCTATGTTTCCTCTAATAACTTTTACCTTTCTCTTGATTATTCACTAATATGTAATAGATATATGCTTTTCTGATCAGTCACTTACTAGTAGAGGTTACGTTATAAACATGCAATTCAGGAAAAAATTTTCTTATCATCACAAGAAATTTTCTTAAGGTGATTAGAATTTGCATACTTTATAATAGCAATATTTTAGATGTGTGATATAATTTAAACTATGCTTAAGCATAAAATTTTATTTTAAAAATTTAGTAAGAAACATCAAAATATTTATTAGGATAATATTCTGGAAGGGAAAAGAGAAACTGATGTTGAGTTAAAGGAGAGAAAAATTACATACACTTTTACTAAATTATCTATGCTATTTAAGTTCAAGTGTATGTATTTTAAAAAAGTATTTGGTTGAACGTAAATAAAGCATATGTATACGCCTGGAGGTGTTAATTTGTACTCCCCAATTATATGCAATTAACAAATTAATAAAAAATTTTAAAAAGTTATATAATAATTTTTATTTTTATATGCTAACATTTGCAATACCCCAGAAATTACATTTTTTGTAATAATTTGGGAATAAAATAAAAATTTACATCCCAACTAACAAATGTGTAATGGAGTACATAGTTTAAAAATTATTTCAAAATTATATGAGGAAAAAGATTTGAAAAGTAATGAACTCAAGTATCCAGCAGTGGCAATCCTACTTTCTTTTTTACTAAGAATCTTTATAGTTTAGGTGTCAGGTTTAGTTGTCTGTCTCAAAGATTTAGGTTTCAGTTATCTAAGTGAATGTATATTTTTGCAGCTTATATTTCAAACTTAAGAAAGCCCAGTTATTAATGAGCCAATGTCAAATAGTATAGTGACAGCAAAAAGGGTGTTTACAATTGCCGCTCATGATCAGCTGATCATATGATAGACTGATCAGGTGAGAATGAAATATATTTGTCTTTTTGAAGACAGTTTCCCTTATGAGGAAATGCTATCCCTAAAGAGTTTGCTGAAAGAAGTGAAACAAATTAGTGAACAGAGAAACAAGATCCACTTTATAGCCATCCTACTGGCAAAAATTAGGACTATGTGTTGGCAGTGATGCAGAGATCTTAAAGCCCAGTAATTGTAGTGTGGTCACGGCAGCTGTGGTGAGAGTAATTTAGCAGTACTTAGTCAAATTAAGTAGGCAAGTACATTTAGATTCAGCAATCCTATCTTTGGATATATATTCCAGCAAAACTCAAAAGGAAATGTGTATGACAGGATTATTTGTGATAGCAAGGAGTTGAAAACAATCTAGTTATCTGCTACTAGGTAATGAAAATAAATTTTTCAAATACATAGTAACTAAAAGTAATGGAAACTAGATAGAGGGAAAGTGATAAAGGACATTGGTAGCACTATGATAAAATCTGAATATATCTATTAGATAATATCTCATAGATAATAGTTAAATATCAAAAGTCCTGATTTGATAATTATACCATGGTTATAGAAGAAATTAATTTTTCTATTTAGGAAATGCAGGCTGAAATATTTAAGGATAGGGACTAAAATATTAAAATTTACTTTCAAACAGCAGACCAAAATATATTTATATGTATATATAGAGAGAAAGACAGAGAGACAAAGCAAATTTTGCAAAATATTAGTAAATTTTGAATCTAGGTAAAGGAAACATGGGAGATCTCTCTAATGGTATAATTTTTTTGGTAAGTCTGAAATCACACCAATGTCAATTTTTTAAAAATAAACACATACAGGGCCCTCCCTGGTGACACAGTGGGTTAAAGCACAGCACTGAGAAGCTAAAGCCACTTCAGCATGAGTTCCATCCCCGCCTGCCCCGGAGGTGACATGGCGAGGCAGACCTCTCCTGACCCGCCCGCTGCTCCCCTCAGCAGTGTACTTCATCGATCTGCCTGTTCTGCTCCCCACTCTGTCTTTGGTGAAGCCTCTCACTACCCCTGCTCCTCAATTCTGTGTACATAAATAAATAAATCTTTAAAAAAAAATAAACACATACATTCACAAAATAAGCTCTAATATTTTACAAGGATACATATGACTTCAAATATACAAAACAAATCTATAAAAATAGCTGTCAGTGAGGATGGAGAAATGAGAGTAGGAAATGGGAACATAAGACATATTATATATGTTAAACAAGATGTTCATACATGTGGTGGATAATTATATTGGGCCAAGAACTCAGGGTGTATAAATAGTTGCTAAGTTATTGATCGATCGATAGCTTGATTGATAGATCTTGAGTTTCAAAAAAATAAAGTTTTTCAAAAAAGAAAAGAGTGTTTAGGGAACCTGGGACCCATCCTGATATGTGAATCTCACTACGAGAACACCTGCATGGTTGCTTTTATGTGCTGGGTTTTAAGAGAGAAAGAGGCGTGTTGAGAGTCTTCTTTTGATCTCTTGTGATTACCAATATCTTGCTGGGTATGCCAAGTCTGCTGACTGGATTGCTTGCTCTTTCTTTACTCAGGCTACTTTCTCAGGATAACTGGAGAAACAGGTAAAATTCTCCATAGACAAAGAGCAGCTCCACTCACTACTTGTTAGGAAAATGATAGATTCACCAAGCGC